GCAGCGGAAGGCAGAGGGGAGACCCGCCTCGGTGTGGGCGCCGCGCGGCTCGGCCCGCCGATCGACGTGCCGAACTCGGGGGCGTCCCCCGAAGCGGGCTCGTCCCGAACGTCGCCCGAGGGGTCGGGTCCGAGCGGCGCGCCCGCGGCCTCGTCGTGGGTGGCCTCGGAAGTCGTTGTCGCCTCGGACGGAGTCGGGTCGGGGGCTTGGCAGGCCGCCCGGCGTGCGCGCGCCGCCTCCGTCTCCCGGACGGACTCCTCGGCCCGGCAGAGTTTGGCCTCCTCCCAAGCGGCTTCCTCAGCCTGGCGAGCCCGGACGGCCTCCTGGGCAGCTTCCTCGGCTTCCCGGAGGCGGTCTGCGACTTCTCACCGGTCAGCTTCCCACCTCCGGGCCTCCGCGGTCGCCGTCTCCTCGGCCTCAGACCGGCCGGACTTGGAATGGCGGGAAGGGTGCGACGGGATCTCGCTGAGGCAGAAGAAAAACCAGAAGACGAAAAACGGGTGAGTGAAAACTTGCCTTGGGAGATGGGAGAATGAATACGGCCGCAGTGGGCGCGAGGACGAACCTGCGAGGAGGTCGGCTAAACTTCCACCTTGGGGGGGAGATGAGGTTTCCCCGGCATGGTTCGGTCCCCCCCATCTTGCGGAGCCGCTTCTTTTTTCGCTCCCCCTCGGGCTATGACGTCGGCACAGCACCCTCCGGGCGCCTGCTGCTGGCACGCACCGCCCCGCCCCCTCGGGGAGGAGATGGGGAGGGGGTATCCTCCTGTTTCCTCTTCCCCCGGGCGTCGGCAGGGCGGCTGCCCCCCGGGCCCCCGTCACGGGGCCCAGAAGCACGACCCCCTCCCGGGGTAGATTGTTCCCCCCTGTGGCTCCCGCCCGCGCCATCGTGGCCTCGAGGAGCCCGCTCCCCTAACGCCCCGACCGCCTGCATGATGGTCAGGATGTTGGCGCGCTCTGGATCGCTGCAGAGGGGGAGGACACCTTGGGGGATGAGGGATGCCTCCACGGAGCTGAGATTCAGCACCCGTTGGATCACCATCTTGAAGTCTTCAGGGACCCAGTCCCATTTGACCCCCTGGTGGGTCCTCGTGTAGTCCTTGGACCCGGTGTACTCCCAGGCGCCCCGGGCGCGCCGCTGGAGCGGCGCGATCCGGCGACGAAGGTAATCGCCGTACACCATGGCCCCCGTGAGCCCCTGGAATCGCAGACCAGCCAGGCGGTCAAGAACGGCGTCGTAGCCGTCTCCCAGATCTACCGGCGCCCGCCAGCTGGAGGCCTGCGCCGGGGGCTGGCTCGGAAGTCGGAGGCGCGCTTCGTCGGCGAGAGGGGTGTAGAACCAGTCGCTCTTCCAGTCGTCCCACTTCTTGCGAAGGACGCAGGGAATGTAGCGGTTCAGCACCGGCCCCTGCGGCTGGAAGTAGCAGCCACCGACTACCGACGGTGGCGACACCGGCTGTACGGTGAAGAACCACCGGAACAGCCGGAGAGATGGGCGCACCCCGATGAACATCTCGCACAGGTGCGCGAAGATGGCCAACGTCATTACCGCGTTGGGGGTGAGGTGCGCCATCTGGAGATCATAAAGCTCCAGAACATCCATGAAGAAAGAAGAGAATGGCGGGACCAGCCCTGCCATTGCGAAGGAAAGGAAGAAGACGGACCGCCCCGGGTAGTGTGGCGCCGGGTGTCCCTCACCCAGCGCGACCACCTCCCGGCTGGTGGCAGATTCCGGCATGAATCGGCGCGGCAGCCCAGCCTGCCTCTCGCTCACGATGCGAGAAGGCGGCAGCACGCTACCGTCGAGCGGTGCGGAGCCCCGTGCCATGACGCCGGCGGAGGAGGGGCTTGAGAGCGAGTGAGTATGGCAAGGGTAGGGCGCCGGAAACGGAGAGTCAGAGCACAAGTGGCAAAGGCAAGGGGAAGAGTGGCGAGAGGAAGGAAACGAATCTCTTCCTCGGCGTCTTTATACCCTTGCCAACGCTATGCCCGGCTCCTCGCTTCCCGCGCCCACTATCTCGCCCCCTCGTTTCTCGCGCCCACTCCTCCACTAATCCCGCTCGCCCGTTTGCGGCGCATGAGGCGGATGTGCGGCCGTGGCAGTCGAGATGGGACATATCGTGCGCGCGTTAAACTACGCTCGCCGACCGATGCACCATCATCACATCTCCAGGCGAAACGAACCGGCTCGTCCCGATTCGCGCGCTACTCAAGTAATGTAGCGGTCTTGAAGAAAGCCGCTCATTATTGTCGGTCGGTTTTCCCTTGCCGATGCGCGCGATTTGCGACCACTGGATTCCTGCCCGCCTGTAGAGACCGGCCCCACCTGTCACCAGGCCTAAGGAGTGGCGTCACGCCCGAGCGCTTTCCTCGAGGAGGGCGATCGCCCTGGCATAACGCCGGGGGCTACTGTCGGTGACATGGGACCGGGGGTATCTTGACTAGAGGTTTGGGGCAGCCGCGGTCACCCACGTGGCCTGACCCCCTCGGGGGGGTCGGGCCCGAGGGTGATGTGGCCGCCCCTCCCTCTGTCTCCCCAAGGGGTCGGGCCACTCCCGTTTCGGCCCCGAGGGCTGGGGCGCCCCGACCCCCTGTGGGTTTGGCGCCACGTGTGTGGGTTAGGTGAGCACAGCGGCGCTCACCTAACCGCGTTTATTGCGGGTTGGACGAGCGCCCCACGCCGCATTTAATGCAGCGCAGCACACTCGTTCGGTCCGTGACAGGTCACAGTGTGTGACCGGTCACAGACCGGTCAGATCGCGGGTTAGGTGGCAACAGGCGGCCTTTCGCACGCCTCGCCCCGTCCCGTCGGAATGATGAGAGCCTCTAGGCACTCGTCCCTAGCCGGAGCCGGCGTGCTAACTCTTGGAGTTAGCACGTCAGTCCCGGCTAGATTCATACCAGGCTTCATCGCAACCATTACAAGGAAGTCATTTTAGGAAGAAGGGCTGATGTGTGGCATGCTAAACTGACGCGTGGTAGACAAGAATGACCGGTTTGTGACTGGTCTAACGCCGGTCACGTCATCGGCAGACAACCGTGCTCCCACGTTGCGCCTGCTTCCGGCGGAGTGGAGGTAGGTATGGCCCATCCCATCGGAGGGTCATTCGGACAGCAGCCATGGCAAATCTCCGCCCATTAATGAGGGAGTAACAGGGAGATCCTCGGTGCCAGGCGAGTGATAACGCTGGGCCTCACTCAAAGACAAGCTGTGATTTAGCTTCCAGGCGAAGGCGCAAGCCAGTCTTTTTTTTGGAAGATAGGGTGAGTCCCCACCCAAAAGAAGAGTAGGTAGAAGTGGTGCATGTGGTATCCCCTTGAGATATAAAAGGAGGACCTTGCCCACTTAAGAGAAAAAAGGGAAAAAAAGGGGAGAACACCTGAGCTCGTAGAGGAGAGAAAGAGGAAGAGGGTCTCTAGAGTTTGAACTCTATTGCTCTCCAGCTCTTTGTAACTCCTTCATACACAGATCCACCAGAACACAGGAGTAGGGTATTACGCTTCTCAGCGGCCCGAACCTGTCTACATCGCCCGTGTCTTAGGCATTTGCTCTCTCGCGAAACATTCCACAGATCGAGGGCTTAGAACCTCACCTAGCGCCCCCGGCCGAACCGGCAAAGGGGGGCCCGCGCGGTCTCCCGGTGAGGAGCCCCACGCTCCGTCAGTGTCAGTTTTTATTCAGAATCGACACCTATCTTCATAAAGGTGTTGGTTCTAGCCAATGGTGTCCCATCGATGCGTGTTTTGGAAGGGAAAAGCACCGGTTTTAGCTGTTCCGGCACCTATAGTGCGGACACCTAGCTATTTGCTTTTGTGTAGTAGTGCATGTAGAATCGCATCCTCATATTAAGTCCCTTTGTCATTTGAGTGGATATACACTTTATTTCATGCATGTCCACTAATAAAGTCATGAAAAATAATATTTTTTACAAAATATATCAATATGTGATAATCACTTCACAAACATATGCAAGTTAAAATTTAATATACACAAGTAGAAACAAATGTGTATGAACCGAAAACAACAAATATATATGACTATCAAAGGTGTGCGTACAATTCATGGTTGATACTCCCTCCTTCCCTAAATGTTTGACGCCGTTGACTTTTTTAAACATATTTAACCGTTCGTCTTATTAAAAACTTTTGTGAAATGTGTAAAACTATATGTGTACATAAAAGTATATTTAACAATAAATCAAATGATAGGAAAAAAAATTAATAATTACTTAAATTTTTTGAATAAGACGAACGGTCAAATATTTTTTAAAAAAAGTCAACGGCGACAAACATTTTGGGATGGAGAGAGTATTTGTTATTTTTGTTTCTTCTTCTATAAGTCGAATTTTAACTTATAGTTTTATAGAGTAACATATCACATATTAATCTGTTTTATTATGTTTTGAAAAATTAATATTTTTAGACGGCATTCATGAAACGAGTGTATGTCCACGCGAGTGGGAAGAAAAACCACTTTCCATCTACAGGGCTCTTTCAATTACGTATGCACCATCTGTATGTATACACTAATATAGGAAGAACCTGAGCTTACTTCATGCCCAGGTAGCAACAAAAGGAAAAGCTTGACGATTCTAGCTGGCTATATATAGTGAAGAGGAAGAAAGGTTGAGATGCTAACTGTAGTAGTGAAGAGGGGAAAAAAAGATAGAGATTAATAAAGGGGTTATTAGCTTGATACATACTACATGCAAGCAGAGAGAACACGAAAGCTTGCAGTACTCATCGATCGGTTGATACGTACGTCCTTTTGTTTGTATCACTATACTCTCCCATTTGCCAACCAAAAAGAATCGATTAGGCCAGAGAGGAGGCTTCTTCCTTTATTTTATGCCATTGTCGTCGTACCACCATCACGCCGATCGCCGCCCGCGAACACGCCATCTCAAATTCCGGTCGACGACGTGCCTATATATACACATTCATGCAAGCGTGCTAATAAACGTCGAGAGGAAGAAGATATATATATATATATATATATATATAATCAGATCATGGGAGAAGAGGCGGCGGAGCAACAGACGCCGGCGCCGCCGTCACCGCCGCCGGCGAGCAGCTGGCCTAAGGAGGTGAGGGTGGATGTAATCGACGGCGGCGGCGCCTCGTCGGCCTCCAAGCAGCCGTCGTCGTCGTTCCGTCTCTGGCGAGTTCCCAAGCATGTGCGCGACATCAACAAGGAGGCGTACGGGCCCAAGTTCGCGTGCATCGGGCCGTACCATCGCCGCCGCCGCCGCCGCGGTGGCGGCGATCGTGACGCCGAGGAGGAGGAGGAGGAGGAGAGACGCCTCCGTGTCGAGAAGCTCAAGGAGCGCTACCTCGACGAGCTGCTCACCGACGTCGTCGGGCCTCCTCACGTCGACGATCATCGCGCCAAACGAGACGAAATCCTCCTACTCTGCACATGTAGGCTCGGGGAGATGCTGGATTCTGTTCGCCGGTACGTACGTTTCCTTCTCTAAGTACTCTCCATCCCTAAATATTTATCGCATTTAACTTTTTTAAACATATTTGGCCGTTCATTTTATTCAAAAAATTTAAGTATTTATTAGTTTTTTCATATTATTTGATTCATTGTTAAATATAGAAGAAACAAATTAAAACATCTTTTCTCCTCATTTTTAGTTTTATTTTCTCAAATTAAAAAACAGCTATAAGAAAGCTGAAAAAAATTGACAACATGGATATCTTAGTCGTCTTCTATCGTCCTGCAAAAGAAATAAATTTCAAATTGATCCATAAAATGAGAAAATAAAAAACAATTACACCATAAGGCCCCATTCTATTTGCAAAACTCCAAATTTCAACTTACTCGTTTTTCGTTAGCACGTTTTTTAAACTGCTAAACGTTGTATTTTTTTTAAAAAAAATCTATATAGAAGTTGTTTAAAAAAATCAAATAAATCTATTTTTCAAGCTTACAATAATTAATATTTAATAAATCATGTGGCTAATGAGTCTTCTTGTTTCGTGTGCACCGGAAATATTCTCCACTTACCATGAAACGAACTAAGTCGAAATTTTACGTTTCAACTTGTTAATGTCGAGTTTAAATGACTTACGTGTTGGTAGAGTGATACATCACAAAATTATCTATGTTATCTCATCCTTTCAGCATCTTTTTTATAACCAAGATTACATGACATAATAAAAAAAAACAAGTGTACTACGTACGTACATGTTTCTTGAGGGGCAAAAGTTAATCATCATTTTACCTTGTATGTGTGTACGTATAGATATACTAAATAAATACCTGTGCTTTGCAACGGTTGAAGGTTATCTTAATCTTATTATTGTTATATGATTTAACTAAAATAAAATTTAATGTAGAAATTTGCTTGAATATTGTTTTTACAAAATCATAAGCTATAATTAGGAGTCCGATTGTCTCGATTTATCATGCGAGTCTTTTTAAACAGATTTCTTATACGACTTGTTCTATATTTCCAAAAGCGAACGAACTTAAAAACCTACTCAAATACAAATATGTAATTTCAAAAACGAATGAACTTAATAACTGACTCAAACACGGATGACGTACCAAAGTATCGACAAAAACATCTTCAATTTTTATAATAGTAAAGATATATAGGTTTTACGCGGAGGATCAGGAGTACTTGCGCGGCATGACGGATGAGGAGATGGTGAGGATGCTGCTACTCGACGGGTGCTTCATCATCAAGCACATCTACAACTTCGCCATCGGGTACGATGATCCGGAGCTGTACGCGACGCGGTGGTCGCCGGCGCAGCTGCGCATCGACCTCGGCCTGCTGGAGAACCAGATCCCCTTCTTCGTGCTGGAGGAGATCTTCTACCACCTCACGCCGCAGACCTTCCTGGGCAAGATCACGCGCCGCGTCGCCAAGGACGACGACAAGACGATGCGGCGGAGGAAGAGGCACAAGCTGATAGTCATGGCGATGTGGTATATGCTGCAGGACTGGTTCCAACTCCCCACGCGCGAGAGCGACGATCTGTACAAGCTCATCGCCGAGGAGGAGGTCCACCACCTGCTGCACCTGGTGCACATAGCTCACCTCGCCAAGGTCGATAGCGCCGGCCCCAAGTCTCCGCCATGCGAGTGGCAGCTGTGCTGGCAGTGGCCGTGGCACGCCCTACAGCTGCTGCTCTGCATCCTCCCACTCTTTCTCGTCAGCTTGCCGCTCCACATGTGCCGGTGTTGCGCCGCCGGCGGCGGCGAGAAGACGGACCCCAAGGCGAACATCGCGTCGGCGTCGCAGCTGCGGGGCCTTGGCGTCAAGATCAGGATGGCGAAGAGGGACCGAGGCGGGATACTCGACGTGCGGCTCAGGAAAAGCCTTGAGATCAGACTAATACCGCCGGAGCTAGAGGTGCCGGCGCTGTCCGTCGAGGAGGCCACGGCGGTGCTTCTGCAGAACCTCGTCGCCTACGAGCAGCAGGGCACGCCGGCGCGGCAAGGACAAGACCAGCAAACCCAAGGGCGGAAGGGCAAGGACTACTTCACCACCTACGCCTTCCTCATGTACAACCTCGTCAGCTCCACGGAGGACATCGCCGAGCTCCAGGAGAAGGGCGTCCTCCTCAACAACTTCGGAAGCCATGAAACGGTCAGCAACACCGCATTATTATATACTCTCACTCAGTTTCTCGTGTTTTCACATTTTTACTGGTCAAACTTTGTTAAGTTTAATCAAACTAGTTGGGTGGCCCGCGCAATTGCGCGGCTAGCACCCAAATAAAATCATATATTTTTTTAGTATGATTTTACTTAAAATTTATTAAATAGCTATCTCATTGTCTTAAGACTTTGAAAGACCAAATCTTATCATCCTGTGTTTCTAATTATATAGTTTTTTAAAAGTCACATCAGTTGCTATCTCTTATATCATCTCCTTTTTATTTGCTTGCTCGATCTACCACTATTTCTATTCATTCTCCTTGGAACCTTTAAAAATAGGATCTTATAGTTTTTAGAGTTTATTGTAACGTTGGGTTTCGTTTTTATAGTTTCTAGACGTCCCGTCAAACGTTGCTATTATACTTCTCTATGGCCTGTCCACTGTCACTTCTCTTTATTGTCCTTGAGATTTCAAAAATCGAACATAATTATCGTTTGGGTTCATTTTTTACTTTCTAGAAGTCCCGCCAAACCGTCAGCGGCTTTGCCATTGTACTTCTCTATGGCTCGCGCACTGCCTCCCTTCTTGATTGTAATTGAGATTTTAAAATTGAACATGATTATCATTGTTTTTTTTACTTTTTAGAAGTTTCGAACCTTTAAAAATTGGACGTTGTAGTTTTTAGAGTTAATTGTCTTGTTGAGTTTTATTTTTTATAATTTTTAGAAGTCTCGTCAAACAATGGCACTATGCTCCTTTACGGCCCGTCCGCCGCCTAGTCTTTATTGTCATTGTGATTCTAAAAATCGAACATAACTATCGTTGGAATTCATTTTTTATTTTCTAGAAGTTCCGTCAACCGTCGGCGGCTATGCAACTATACTCCTATACACCCCGCCCGCTGCTTCTCCTTTTTATTGTCATTGAGATTTTAAAAATCGAATATGATTATCAATGAGGTTTATTTTTTTTTACTTTCTAAAAGTCCCGGTAACCGCCTTGCTCGTTTACTTCACGGCCTGCTTGTCGTCCCTCCTTTTAATCATCATTAGGATTATATTTGGTGTTTTATTAATAATTTTTATATGTCGTATCAACCGTTATAGGCCTGTTATTTAATTTATTTCGTCATATGTTTTAGATGGTATTTTCTTTCAATAGCCTTTATTTTGATCACAATTTTAGTTATTTATAATTTGTATTCTTAAGAAATCTTATTTTTCTTTTTCTAATTTCAGAATTTATTTTTTTTCAAACTTTAATTAATATCGTATTGTGTTCTTTTAATATTTTTACTTTTTATTTTTAATTTCAGTTGTTTCAAATTTGTATTCCTACTTCAACTCTATTTTAATTTTTCTAATTTTAGATATTTTTTTTCTGAATTTTAATTAATCTCATATCAGGTTCTTATATGGATTCTACTTTCAATATTGCTTATTTTTAATTCCAAATTTCAGCTAATTTTAAATTCTATTCCTACTTGAACTCTTATTTTTTTTTTTGCTAATTTTGGATTTTATTTTTATTTTTATTCCCAATTTTAATTAATCTCGTTTTGGGTTCTTATATGGACTCTTATTCCATATTTTTAATTCCAAATTTTAGATATTTTAAAATTATATTTCTACTTGGACTATCCTTTTCTTTTCTAATTTTGGATTTTATTTTATTTTTATTCTGAATTTTGATTAATCTCGTATTGGTTTCTTATATGGAAACTTCTTTTAATATTTTATTTTAAATTTCGAATTTCAGCTATTTTTAAATTATATTTCTAATTGGTCTCTCTTTTTTTTTCTAATTTTGGATTTTATTTTATTTTTATTTCGAATTTCGGTTAATCTCAAATTGGGTTCTTATACAGAAACTTCTTTCAATATTGTTTATTTTTAATTCCGAATTTTAACTATTTTTAGATTGTATTTCTACTTGGACTTTCCTTTTCTTTTTTTTTCTTTTTCTCCGATTAATGTGGGAATTTCTAGCCCCCACAGTGAATGTGGTGTCTCCTTTCAAAGCTGATACGTATGTCCAGTTTCTAGTGCCTGGTATGTCCGTATACGTGAAACCAAGTCTAATCTTCCAAAATTTAATTAAATCTCAGCCATTAAAATATAGGCTATCAATGAACAAGCGGTCGATATTTTTTCTTTTCCTCCGATTAATGTGAGAATTTCTAGCCCCCACGGCGAACGTGGTGCCTTCTTTTCGAGCTGTCTTAATAATATAATAGATTTATAGAAAAATATATTAGTATTTAAAAAAACATATTATGAAAACATATTCAATGCTAGATTTAATGATAATAATTTTATATTGTAGAAGTTAAATTTTTCTATAAATTTAATGAAACCTAAAAAATCAAACGTCTTATAATATGAAACAAAAACAAAGGGAACATCTCTCTCTAAAACCATATGAACTTGCCGATCTGAGGAAAAAAATAGCACTCTACACCACATTTTGGGAGATCTCTTACAGTTATATCTACCGTTGGTTGTATATATGCAAAGATTCATGCCCCCCGGGCTTCTCGATGGCGACACCCTAACTCTACCAGAGTACTAATTAATATATTAGGGTTTGGGATGAGGAGGTTGGGGGAGGGAGGAGAGAGAAGTTTGCTGGGACGACTTAAAGGGATGTTTGTGAGTGGCGGACACGGGCGGGTGGCGTAACACTGCCGTCAGAACCGTACGGTTGGATAAGGGCGATGTATGGGGACAGTAGAGGAAGTATTCGGTTTCGAGTGTTTAGGAGGAGGGGGCATTTCCAGCTGCAAGGGAGCTGTCGAAGACAGTTAAGACGGTGGGGCGGAGCCGCGGGGAACATCGTATACCACTCAGTTCGGGGAGAAGGAGAGGTAGGGAGGGGGAGGTTGATGGCAGGGAAAGGAAATAGGTGGGTTCTCTTCGACAAAGGAAGATGCCAACACTGTGCTGAACAGGAAGGAGCGGCGTTGGAGGTGGCAAGTTTGACCTCGCATCACGTACGGGAGAAGGGGGAAGTGGGGAAGGGAGAAGGTTAACTATTATGCTTGCACGAATCTTGGTGCGATCTAAGATGTTCAAAAATGGTTGAGATGAGGAGGGGTTTTCTTGCAAATATTGCATATGCAGGCATATTTTCAAATCATCTTAAATAAATCAAATCTTTTTTATTGTAATTACCTATATTTACACTATAATTAATTATAAGCTTTAATAATTTTGAGATTATTTCCATGATACTTATTATAATTTAAAGTAACCGATTACCTACTCAGAAGAGTAGATAAATGAGATAGAAGATAGAAAATGTAGGCAAAGGAAAGAAACTTGGTTTGCGTTTTCTTTTACGCAAATGAGGTCAATCATATCTTTTAATTATTTCAAACTAAAGAGTAAATAAGCTTTCCCTGGATATAAAACAAAATTTGAGAAAAAAATGCAAATGAGGAAATGGAAACAACTAATACTGTTAGGTTCCGGAAATCTACCTCTTGACATTTTTTTTATTTGGATGAAACATGTGAAGTGAATGGCCAATAACACCATAACAAAAGTTCTGCAAGGGGATTGAAGCAGGCTAAATTAACCAACCATGAAGCAAATTAAGATACTTTTTCCACATACTAGATTCGGTGCTGAGAAATAAGTGACCGTAATCAACTAAAAATATGGCACATGTTTTCAGCAAAACTGGTTAGAAAAAGACTAACTATATTTATGGTGCATATTTTCCAAGAAAAAGTTTAAATAAATACGTTTACACTATAATTACGTTATAAATTTCAACTTTTACACTAAATATATGTCATATAAAAGAATTTGATTATCTACTTGAAATAGGAGAGAAACTTACTACATACATATAAGAAAACAGAGAGGTATCAATTAATTACATGAGAGAAGCAATCGGAAAATCAAGAGAAAAATATGGAACCATATATATATAGCTTTTAACAAAAGGGGGAAAAAGTGGAATTTTGGACACTTCTTTAATGACGTTACTCATTCCCTCCGTGACAAAAACATGCCGTTTTAGACAGGACATACATATCTATCTGATGTCGTTGTTAATTACCGCAGATCATCAATTACTTCAAGAACCTATGCCGGTGGAATCAGCGGAGCAAGGAGGACACACCCATCGGCAAGGTGCTCGATCAGCTCAGGGTATGTAGCCAGTACCAATTATACCGAGATTGGGCGGAAGCGAAGAAGTACATGGACACCCCTGTCAAAATCCTTGCGCTCGTCGTGTCTACTCTGCTCGCCATCTCCACGATCCTGCAGACTACCACCGCCTTCTATCCCAAATGATACAACTCACCTTATTTTATTCTCCTAACTTTCAAATTTGGATAAATTTATTTACTTGGAGTGCTAGTACTACCTAATTTTTGAAAGCTTATGATGAAATTTAAGTTCACAGTGAAAAATAGACTTCATTAAAAGCTTAAGGTTCAAAAATAAACCCTACCCTATTGGAAATTATCTAATTTCATCTTAGATATATATGCCATAAATATGTGTGCATATTTGTGTGTGTGCGCGCGTGGAATTCATATCCTCTGTGTTTTGTAGTTGTTACCAAAATGTTGTAATAATTTAATAAATCCAATAAAGGGGACACATATGTTTTGGGCCCTGACATATTTTAGATTATGTGTGATTCTTTAATCTGTATGGTGTGCATATGTGCCACAATTATTATACTTAGGTTAACTATGGCACCAAAGTGGCATTAAATTGTTGCACGACGTTAATTGTGCGTTCGCCAATAAAATGTACATGTGACATTTAGGGGTGCCAAGTAAAATAAAAAAAGTGTGACAAACTTAAAATATTGTAGCAATGAAGCAAACAATATTTAACAAACTATGAAAAGACGAAAATATGACACGGCAAGGTAGCCAAATAAACCAAACATTCCCTTAGTTTTGCTTGTGGTAAGAAGCCAAAAGAAATAGAACTGGAAGATTAAAAAATAATAAGTTTACGAAATTGTGAACCTAAACATAGGGGTGAAAACGGTAACGGTAATTACCGGCCGACCGGCGTTCGTTTTCGACTTTCTACCGGCCGAGCCATATGGAAATGGTAATCGACCGAAACAAAAATGGAAATGGTAAAAAATATGGAAATGAAAACGGAAATGGTTTTGCTGTTATACCGATCGTTTCCGTATTTACCGTATTCTCGCGGAAATCACCGTTTCTTATAATATGGTAATTACCGTATTCTAAATATGTCGATATTATAGGACATGTCTATACTTGACCCACAGCTTATAGATTGAATGACTCTTCAATAAAATCTCTAACTTTTGTATATGGCTAAAATGAAGTTAATTTATAATTTATATAGTATAAGCTTGAATTTATGTATATATATAACATACTTATGTAAAGTTAAATATATGTTTTTATAGTTTAATGTTTCCGTATTTGTTACCGGTTTTCGATCTGTACCGACATGTTTCCGTCCGTATTGTTCCGTTTTCGGTTTTCCGATATTTCCGATATCGTTTTCGTTTCCGACTTTACCGTTTCCGATTTCGTTTCCGAGAAAAATATGGTTACGGAAATGGTTGAGGCTGTTTTCCGATCATTTCCGACCGTTTTCATCCCTACCTAAACATATGGAGCTATGAAGCATGAAAATAGAACCGTTCAAAATATCGGGACTAGTGGATTTACAAACAAAGCAAAAGCATCGAACGCAGTCATAAATAGTTCAACTAGCAAACCATTTCAAAGGCCGAAATACAAAAAAGAGATATAGAGAAAGACATAGTTTGTTCTAAGATTAATTGGGCCTCTCTAGATATCTGTCGTAGTGGAGGGCGTATGCCAACCGTCATCATCACCGTCTCCTTGCCCAGTCCTGATACCAGTAATCGAATCTACATATATCAGGGGTTTGGTATCACACGTATCAGGCTTGGTGCCGACGGGGTATCTACATGGGAATCGGCCTAGTAACAATGGGAATCGATTGATACCGACGGAAATCCTTTGGTACCTAACATGTATTGTCGATGTTTGTAGATCATGACTACGGCATTTACAGAGTATGGGGATCGTTGGTAGAAAACATTTTTCTAGTAGAATTTTCCATATTTGGTGCGCCATCGCTCGACCATCTTGTTAAAGTCACCATGGCAGCACTACCCTCGAACTGTCACACCCCAATCTGATACCGCCGTACAACGGCACCTGACAGGAGCGTGTCGTAGGGAAAACGGCGCGAACCGCTTCCTACGAAACCGCGATCTCGGTACCAGTCCCAGGACATAGTGCTGGTACCCACGGTGACAAATATGAATCATAGCAATCCTTAAAATAAATAGAGGACTTATTTACCTTAACTTAGGTTGCAGCTCAGACAGCCCGAGAATACAATCGACGACGTGGACGAGGAAACACCAACAGCAGCAGCAGCAGCAGCGGAACCAACGGTCTAACACCCAACACCACAGGCGACGGCTGGGAACCAGGACGAAACTCTAATTTTCACTTCACTTTATCTTCTCTTCAGAGCGGAGGAACTATATATATATATTTATATAGAGCAAGGGTGAGTACTCTCGTACTCAGCAAGTCACGGGAACTTAGGTGTTTAATGCAAGTTTGGAAGAGAGGCAAGGTTGTTTTGCAAATCTTTTATTTGAAGACATTTTGAAAACACTAAGTGATTTATTTCTTTCTAAGTTTGGGCCGAAAAGAGACTTGCGTCTCGTTTCGACTTTAAGAGATGTTTTTCAACAGCTCATTTGGTAATGTACCGACCTCCCGGCTCAGATCATTACTTCTCGGCTCCCAGAGCCATTCCACTTGATTAATCGGCTCCCAGAGCCTTTTTCATTTTCTCGGACTCCCAGAGTCCAGCTGCCCAGCAGCACAACAATCCGCTTCCACTCGGGAAGCCTAGTCTATGATGCCCACAGACATCCCGAATCACACAGATTTGTTTCTGACCACTCAGGTCATCCATCTGCCACATAGGCTGATTCTGGTTACGATTCCCACACCACAACAACTTTTCACAAAGCACAGGCAAACAAATCTACGCAACGGGAACCACCTTACATCCGCCCATGACCGTGGGCACGGCTGTTCGAACAGTTAGTTAACCTCTACAGAGGGGTACACTTTACCCACAAGACACGAACTTACTCCAGACACTGGCCGGTGTCAGAGGTTCGCGACAAAGCCTTTCCCAAGCCGACCCAGGGATACCTCATGCCACATAGAATGATCAAATCCTCACATAAACATAGGCCATTATAGGCGTTCACAATTCAAACTCCAACCACCTCGATCGGTAATTCAGCAAACTTCTCGTTCTTGCATTACCAGGAACCCGGTTTGGCTCCAACCGACCCCGCCCCGGCGTTCCCAACTATTGGCATGCGAGGTTTCCCTGAATCGACTAGCTACTTAGCCAGGGTGTCCCATTCCACCTTGTGGTTGCACTTTGATTATGTTCGATGAGTTTTCCACAGGAATCGGTCCTTATATGCGAATACGGGACAGTGCCACATAGGCACAACCCCCGCATCGCGAGTTTTCACAATTCATTTTATTTTCAAACACACCGACACCACATATCGGGTTTTGAAGGCTTCACAAACTCATTTCCCAAGTTTTCGACAAACAACGGTGTATGTGGGATATTTGGTATACGCGCTCAGAGAGCACGAATACCGAGGTACCACAAGGGTGGAGCGACAAGGAATCAGGGTAGTACGACCTACGGAAATTAGTGCGACTACTGGGTAGGTCCGTCGGTTTGGCACACAAACCGAGGCCAAGCAAGTTAAGTGTGTGATTCTAATAATGCAAGTTGCAAACAAAATAATAATGACTTTTCAATTATAGGGGCAATTGATCAAAGGGTGACTTGCCTTGCTCAAGGTCTTCACGAAGCTTCACGAATCTTCGAGAAAACCCGCGATCGACGAAAATCCGGTAACCGCAACTATACGCAAACAATCAAAAACCTAAACAAAAGACCAAAAGAAAGATCCTATTTAGACTAATTAGTAGTGCCATTAAATAGATCTCAATTTACGGAATTATTGGAAGTGGAACGGAGTCAATCGGATGAGCGGTTCGGAAGATATGGATTTTCGAAGTTTAATTGGATTTTCCGAAATAGGAGAAATGATTTATGGAATTTATAGAAATAATATTCTCAAGAATATTATTGACAGTCACTGACGCGCGGGACCAAAGGAAATGATTTGTGGAATTTTGGGAATAAGGAATTGATTTATGGGACAAAGGAAAAAGGATTTATTAAATCCCTGAAAAAGAAAAGGATGGAGGGATGTGATTTAGACTTCCTCGGGCGGCTTGAGTGCGGCCCAATAGATAAGCACGGCGCGGCCGAGCCAATGGGCTGGGCGCGGGCGCGAGGAGGCGGCCCATGGCCGGGCAAGGCGCGGCCCAAGCGGGCGGGGCGCGCGGGAGGAGAGAGGGGGATGGGTCCGGGTGGACCGAATCCACCTTGCGGGGTCCCGGGTGGGGCCCGCTTGTCAGTGGCGCGGCTCACCGTGGGAGCGGCGCATGAGGGCAGCTCTAGGGTTCCGGGTGAGCGCGGTTCACGCGCGTGCACCGGATGGACCAGGGATGCGGCGGGCCCACGCGCAGCCGGTTGGTGCACCGTGGACCGCGTGCACGGGAGGGGGGCAAGGAAGGAGGCGGCTGACCGGCTCGGCTCGGTCAAAGCCGAGGTGGTGCCGACGTGGCGCCTACGTGGCAGCCACGCGGACCGGCGGGAGGAGGAAGAAGGGGCGGCCGAGATGGACGGCTGATGGCGGCCGAGTTCACCGGAGCTCGTCGCGACGATTCGAGAGAGAGGGAGTACACCGGAACGATGGGACGGACGAGAGGAAGTGAGCCACCGGATCGGATTCGCCGGAGGGAGGCCGGCGATGACGAATCGCGGCGGCGCACGCCGGCGGCGAGAAAAGGGGGAAACTTCACTGGAGCAACGGGGGTTCGATTAAAAGGGGTGGGAGCATATCCGGGGTTCAAGGAATCCGTTTCCGGCGCCGGATGGGACGGAGGAGCACCGAGGACAGCCGGCGATGAGAGGCGGCCTCCGGGGGTGGGCGGCAATGGCGGCGGGGCCATGCCGGGTGGCGGCGGTCCTTGGGGCGGCGTCTACGCGCGTTCGGCAGGGCTACCGAGCTACCACGCAAGCTAGAGGGGACGAGGGTGAGCGGGGAAGGGGAACGGGAGGGAGGCACTACCGAGCCGGGACGGCGCGGTGACAAGCAGCCAACGGCGCGGAAGCGAGTTCCCCGTCGTCGGGCCGGGGAAGGGGAAGAAGAAGGGTGGCCAGAGCCCTCTTTGGTTCCGCGCGCACGCCGGCTTCCCGGCACACGCGACGGCGGAGGAAGGCGAGGACGGCGGCAGCAAGGCGGCGATGGCACTGCAGCGGTGGAGACTGAAGTGGGAGGGATTTGAGAGGAGGGACTCGGCTTTATAGTGGAGGCGAGGTTGGTTCGCGCGGGAGGTCGGTTCAAACCGACCTTAGGGCGGTCAAGGCGGCAGCTGGCGGTCGTGCTCGGAGCTAGCGGCCAAGCGGCGGTAGAGGCGGTCACGGGCGTGACGCCGATCGGGGAAAAAGCAAAAAGGGGAGGGAGAAAGGAGCTCGGCTCCTTGCCGATTTTGGACGAGCTGAGGGAGGAGAGAGCGCGTGGGAGAGAGAGGCACTGCCTCCGCGTCTTGGACACACGCGCGCTGCGGCGCAGAGGTGGGGGCAGCGGCAGAGTGGGCGCGGGCGGCTGCGCGGCGCAGGCGGGCCAGGGCGGACGGTGACCGAGGGCTGTCGGCCACCACGGCGGGAGCGCGCGCGGGAACGAGCGAAGGCGGTGGCGGGTTTTGGGCGGCGACGGCGGGAAGCGGCGTCGGCGCGCGAGAGAGAAAACGAGAGAGAGAGAGAGAGAGAGAGAAACAGCGAGAGCGAGAGAGCTCTTTCTCTCGGCTCGGCTCGGCACGTGCGAGAGGAGGGTGGAGGACGGCAGAGGGAGGAAATGGGCTGGGGAGGGACGGCGGGGAAGGTGGGCCGAGGGGAGGAAAATCGGTCCATCCAAAAACACAGGGAGGTAAAGTAGACTTTTATAGGGAATTTGAGTTGGAGGGATTTGGGACTTGGGTTTAAATTTCAAATTTGAGATTCGATCTCGGGGGTTTAGGGAGGAATCAAGGGAGACTCAAGGAAAGGATTCGAGATGGGAATTTGATATTTTCGGAAATGGGGATAGGTATTTGGCGGGGATTCAAAGGATGCGATTGAATTTCGGAGTTTGATTTCGGAGACTTGAGTCGAAATTGGAATCTTGAGGTGGACGATTTTGATGGCGATGAGAGGGAACAACAAGAGATTGAATTGAGATCCTTGGCACAACTTAGACTCGCATACAAAGAACGAAATTTTCGCATATAGGATTTTGCCGAATTAGTTTTTAACGTATCACGAGAAGCGGAGCGTTACATGAACAAAGCTGTTGTAGTTGCCAGCGTCTACCCGGATCCCGTCATCATGGTTAGAACCGCAGACTGATCCCCACACTCAACGGATCAATCCTTTTGGCTAGCACAAGATTGATCTGGACTGGGAGTTCATACTCCAGACGCCCACAAAGCCCTATTATATTTTTCCTTCACACTCATCTCATCTACAATATTTGCATTGAAATACCTTGATTTGGTTGCTTCAATGGCAGTACGGTTGAGTAATCCGGCCAGTTCTCTTTTAATTTAGATCGATTCCGGACCAACATCGCCAGGAATTGGAAGCTTGGATGGCAGTTTAAGTGGAGAGGAGATGAGAAAGGCAATTATCAGGGAAAAGTGAACGAACGCATCGATCGGTGCTTGTTTGCTTCGATCCCATGGTGCAGTGCCCATAATTGCCATTGCGTAACTTTTGGATGCATTTTGTACGCAAGAATGATTGCAGCTTGGAATGCATGCATCTTTCGTTTTTAGTTTGTTTCAAACTTTCAGGTGATGAACAATTTGTGTTTGTGATGCGATGCAAATGCAATGGAGATCACGGTTGTTAATTAGTGGTTTTCAGTTTGTGAAAAGTTGCGGTGATTACTGTTGGTGTGGGCTCTAGACTTAACTCCCTCGAGGACAAAATTACCCTCCCTAAATGAAGTTTACACTATCAGTACCTTCTAATCTGGGCCTCTCATCTTCTTTAAAAATTGTGCAGTTTTTTCATTGAGGAGCATATAGAAGCATTAAACTTACTCTCAAGATATACTATGTGGTTTGAGGAGCTAGATATGTCTTTGTGGATGCAGGTACAAAACGAATAAAGTGGATTGCAACAGAAGTTGAAGAACTTGTGCAGGAAATTTCCCGGCTTCCACTCAGCTTTTGTTGAGTAGAGACAACACAATCAAAATCGAGAGATTTTCCATTATACTCCTACGGAGATATATTCATTTGTAAAGAATAAATGAGTGCCCATTCCCCCCAAAAAAAATGTTATACTATTCGGCAAGAGATCGAACAATGAACAGCTTAATTACAGCAGCTGGTTGTCCATTCGAAAGGCCGGACACACCCTTTCAGAATGAATTCAGAACGCTGCTAATTAATAATACAACTGTCATGTAATTGATCATAATATATGTTCATGGTATTTGTAAAGAGTACATTTCTCGTAACATACATCACTCTGTAGTCTGTACCAGTAATTGGAGACGGGCATGCTTGCATAGTTGCATAAGCACTCATGCATGTCTTCCTCCGATATGATCCCTTATTCAACATCCATATGAAGTAGCTAGCTAGCTAGCTAGAGTGATCATGTCGATCAACACGTACATGGTTGCTCGACATGATCAAGCTAGGTGCGAGATGAGATCGAGCTCGATCGCTAGCAAGCTATATATGGTTAGAGTAAGATCAGGTACAGTTGGAGCCTGCAGCAGGACGGCCGCCGGCGACGACGTCCTTCGCCGGCGACGACGACTTGGGCGCCTTTGGTTTTGCGACGCCGCCGTAGCACGACACGCAGAGGCAGCCGCTGCCGTCGTCGTTGTTGTGCTGGTCGTCGTTCTGGGGGCCGTTCTGCTTCGGCGGCGTTTGGTCGTCGTCGTCGAACAAGAAGTGAGCTCGCCGAGACTTCTCCATCACGTCCTGCATATATATACATCATAACCATTAAATTAGTTTCTCTTTAAGATGACATAATTAATCCGGCCTCTACGTCTAATAATTCAGATGTATCCGGCGGCCCCGGCCAGCAGTATCGATCATGCATATAAATGAATATATATGCACTAGCTAGCAACATCTTTTTTTTTTAGATAATGGAAATGGGTTACAGCAACATCTAATTGCCAAATAACTAATTACTTCATATATGTATACGAGATTTACTTACCATTTTGCCTTCGAGTAGTAGCTAGCGCTAGTTGCTCGCTCTCAATGACAATCGATCTGAGTTTGATGAGTTGTGATGATGGATTGATATTGCAAGACCCTCCTCTCTCTATATATATATATATAGCTGCTGTTTGCTAGGTCGATGCACAAAAACGCATCTATCAAGACATACATGCCAGCCACGGCCAGCACGTCGGCCAACACACGACGTACGCGTGAAACCTTTACGGTGGAAGCTTGATCGAGTGAAGGAAGGGATCGACGAAATTAAACAAAGCAAAAAGTCCAACATGATCGGCATATGCTTTTTGATGAAATTTCTCTCCAAAAGCAGTACGTCTGGACAGAAAATTAGTTGTCGTGTGGCACAATATGCATTCAAGTAATTAAAGCGCAAGCGTGCATATATTCCTTGGCGATATTCCACGCTAGCTAACTCGATCTTTTCTCTCTTAATTTTCTGGCGATGATCAAAATTCAGCGCATCTGATGGCGTCGGCAGAAAAAAATTCAGCCGCACGTACGATCAATTTACGGCTACCATTGTCCCACTTGCAAGTGGAACAAAGCGGCCGCTGATTTAAAGGTCAAGTTCTTTGAGTGGTATTAAAGCGGCCGCTGATTTGCGCAAAAGTATAAACACTGCAAACTAAAGGAAACCTGTTTTTTTCCAAATTGAAAACCGCGCGGCGACAGTTTACATTCATGAGATATTTTACAATTTTGCAAGTACTACTTCTTTACAACTTTTTGAAGTTAGGGTATAACAGAATTAATTATATTGTTAAATTAAGAAAACAGACACTGATTAGAGTTTCATGTATTACTAATGAATAGGGTACTAAATTTGGGCTACACACCCATATAAATATACTAGATGATGCCCCGCGCTTTGCTGCGAGATATATGTTAGATAATGGAGAAATAATAAAACAATTTGGATTGAAATATTATGAAAAGGAAAACGTACGAATTACCCCTCTGAATCGCAAAACCAGACATTCTTCACACCCAACTATGCAAACCGAACGAATTATCTCCCTCGACCCAATCCGCGGTGATTTTAATCTACGTGACATACGCGTGGTAGTCCAGTTAGCATTCTATTTATAAAAAAATATGAGACCCACATGTCATACTCTTCCTCTCTCTCACTCTGTCTCACTCTTCTTCTCTCACTGGTCGGCGGCGGCGGGTGACACGGAGCGGCGGCGGCCGCGGGTGACACGGAGGCAGCCTTCCTGTCCACCTGCTGCTGCACGCCGCCGCCGAGTAGTCGTCGTCACCATTGTTCGCGGTCGGTGATGCGACCGTGATGCCGGCTCGGCGCCGCCGGGGCAGGGCTGTGGGAGTGGGAGCGGGCTAGCGTCCAAAGCGGCGTCGTCTCGGCGGTGGCCGGTGCCACGGCGGCGGCGTCGTCGTCGTCGTTGAAGAGGTGCCCCGTGTAAGTAAGACGCGGCAGTGCAGACGACCGAATCTCTCAGAGCAGCAGAGCAGAGCTGCACTGTGCTGCTAGCTGCTTGCGTCGAGACATAGGATCCCTTTAGGCTGTTAGCAACCCGATGCACCAAGCAAATAGCAAGCAACAGTATCTAAACCAATTTGAGGTGGAATTGAGCGAAGTAGCTGAGTATTACAAGCTTCTAGAAGGTTCTATAGAGGGAGACAAGAAGAGTGTAGTGGCTGGTAGGAAGAAGGAGAAGTAAGGGAGAGAGATCGACAAGGTTCTTGCCCAAACCTAGTCGCCGCCGCCGCCGTGGCCGAAGCCGCCGATTGCCAGTTCTGTTCTGTTTCTTCTTGGCGACGGGTTGCCTAGCGGCCCATGTGCAGCCGGCCCGAGACCCTGACATAGGCATTGATGATGGACGGCAGGCTGGCCCCTGCACGGCGCGACGCCGGCAGCTTTCCTGGCCACGAGTTCGTACGCCTGCCTAGCTTTGCCGGCTGCCTCGTTGGGCCGTGGCGGAGGAAGAAGACGTGCTAGCTAGCTAGCTCGCCTACACACGCCGTCGTCGTCTTCTTTCCTGGCAATGGGCAGGAGTATGCGCATTGCTGCTCGTCTGCACTGCTCTGCTAGCACGTCTTCTTCCTCCGCCGCCGCCACCTCCGCCTCCGTCTTCGTGTCCCGCGCCGCCGCCTGCACCAGCCTCCATCCGTCCGCGCGCCGAGGGGCGGCTCCTTGTAGTGGCCACGGCCGCCGCCGCTCGGCGTCGCTCGCCGCCGTCGACCGGCGAGAAAGAGAGAGGAAGAGTGAGAGAGGAGTATGACAGGTGTGTTCCATATTTTTTTTATAAATAAAATGTTGACTAGACCGCCACATGTACGCCACGTAGGACAAAACCGCTCTAAATTTAGGTAAGAGGGGTAATTTGTCCGATATTACAAGTTCAGGGTGAACGATGTTTGGTTTTCGGGTTTAGAGGGGTAATTCGGTCGACCGCGATAATTCGGGGGAGGGTAATTCGTGCTTTTGAGAATGATGATTTAGCTTGTGCATGAAATAAATTGTATATATAATTACTATATGCTTACATGTTAAGTTTTGTATGCTTAATGGGTTGATATGACATGCTTGTATGTAGGTTTTAAAGTGCTAATAAATACTATACTTGCATGTTAAGCTTTATGTATTTAGTGGGCGTTAGCTTTATCGAAAAAAAGAGATTCACACCACCTTTTATGACTACTTTTTCACTTGAAAAGTAGAAAGAATATATTGAGCGTGCAGCAATAAGATATAAAAAATTATAGCTCTCCCTCAATTGGCATAAAGCTCAAAGTTTTTTTCTGGCATATATTCCTTGATGACAATATATCTTCTTTTGCATTCAATTCAGCGGCCGATGCTGCGTACGGTAAAGTACTACTCCCTCCATCCCAGTTTGATTATCATCTAGAATTTTTTATGTTTTCTCAAAAGAATCACCATATCACAAATCGTCGCTTTGTTTATTTGGACAAAAAGTAAATGTGCACCATAGAATGCCCTGTGTGCGCACAGGCAACCAAGATTAATTTTTGTTGCTTCAACCAATTAAAGGGTGAATTAATTTCTGTTGAACACGAAACGACAACACCTTGAGTTGCAATCTATACTGTTCTTTCTTGTATTCTTCGATTCGTATGCAGAGATTAGCCTTCTCGGTGAGATCAACCATAGCAGCGTATGGTTGATAACCAGAGAAGCCGTGATGCTACAATTGCAGGGTTTAGATCGTGTTGATCGGAAACCGAATCATGTGTATCAAGTTTCCACCAAATCGAGAGTTATTCATACCTATCGAAAGATCAGGACCTTTCCTCAATGTATATAACTCTATTAAATATTTGATATGCTACCTCTACATAGCTTAAAACTTACAAACACATGTTATCAATGTTCGTGGAGTGATATATCTCTTCAAAATAAGGAACATATCTTACACACAAGCTTTCCGTGCACACTCCGCACACACTAACTAGCAAATGTCACGAAAAATTCTAAAAGAATTGGACATTTACTCCTAATAGTATTACACATATATGCAAAGTCTCATTTTCAAATTCATTATATTTTAGCTGTAACCAAAAAGTGAAAAATCTGACAGTTTTAAGGGTAAAAATCTATCAAAATTTTGTCTTTTTTGTTACGGTTAAAATATAACGAATTTGAAGATAAGATTTCACACGTAGATGTAATACTATTAGAAGTATGTGTCCAATTTTTCTAGAATTTTCTGTGACATTTGTTAGTTGATATGCACGGAGTATATGCATAGGAATGTTGTGTGCATATGATATGTTCCCTTAAATAAATCATAATTATTTGGATGGATATAAAAAGAGAGGGCATTCTTTAAGATGAAATGACTTTTCCAGAAGTAGATGAAATGAGTAATTGCTGAACATCCATGTAAAATCCCATGTACATATGAAAGTCTTTTTATCATTTGAGTGGACATAGACTATTTTATGCGCGCATGCCAACTAAAGCATGTCAACTAAAAAGGTCATAAAAAGTAATATTTTTTTTACAAAATATATCAATATGTGAGATATATCACTTCACAAACATGCATGCAAGTTTAGATTTAATATACACAACTAGAAATTACAAATGTGTGTGAACCAAAAACAACCAATATATATGACCATGAAAAAGGTGTGCGTATAATTCATGGTTGATATTTGTTATTGTCTTTGTTTCTGGTTGTATGAGTCGAATATTTACTTGCACTTTTATATAGCAAAATATCACATATTAATCTATTTTAGTATATTTTTCTAAAAAATAATTTTTTGACGGCATTGATCATGAAACGACGTATGTCCATACGACTGAAAAAAAAAGAACCTTTCCATCTACAGGGCTCTTTCTATTACGTACGTATGCACTATCTGTATATAGACTAATATAGGAAGAAGAACCTGAGCTTACTTCATGAGCAGGTAGCAACATAAGGAAAAGCTTGACGATTCTAGCTAGCTATATATATAGTGAAGAGGAAAAAAGGTTGAGATGCTAACTGTATTAGTGAAGAGGAAAAAAAGAAGAAGATTAAAGGGGCTAGCTTACATACAGATCAGCATGCATGCATGAGAACATCAAAGCTTGCACTGATCGCTTGATACGTCCATTTGCCAACCAAAAAGAATCGATTAGGCCAGAGAAGAGGCTTCTTCCTTTATTTTATGCCATTGTCGCATGCACCACCATCACGCCGATCGATCGCCGCCGGCGACACGCCATCTCAAATTCCGGTCGGACGATCGATCGACGACGTGCCTATATATACTTGGAATTGGATAACTAAGTGCATGCAGCATGCTGCGTACGTACAATAAGATACATATTATGGGAAACGGTGATGACACTACTACAGAAATGGTTTTTCTGGACGAGGCAGGGCAGCAGCAGCTGCCGGAGGTGAGGGTGAACATAATCCACGACGACAACGACGATGGCGGCGACCTCCCGCCATCGTCGCTGTCGTTCCGGTGGAAGACGAAGAAGTACCGTCTGTGGCGAGTCCCGGAGCAGGTGCGCGCCATCAACAAGGAGGAAGCGTACGCGCCCAAGTTCGTGTCCGTCGGCCCGTACCATCGTCGTCACGCCGGCGCCGGCGATCGCAACCGCCTCTGCGGCGAGAAGCTCAAGAAGCGCTACCTCCACGAGCTCCTCAGGGACGTCGAGCCTGACGACCACAAGCATGGAGGCATCCTCCAACGCTGCAAAAGCAGCCTCCAGGAGATTGTGGACGATATTCGTTGGTAAGTACCTACATCATCCCCCCCCCCTCCCCCTCACAAAAAAAAAAAAAACTTCTGGGGATAAACCTGACAAATACTTGTCCAAATTCATTCCAAAAGTTGATTTTTTATATGACCGTGGGAGTACGTACGTCGTAGCACGTCTCTCCACTCCTTCGAGAGTGATCTACCATACATGCTAATTACGGGTGTTAGCAGGAAGGGATTTACTTTATTTAATACTATAAAAGATGCCCATGCGTTGCAACGGGTGGATGCTATTTCAATCTTATTATTATTATACGGTTAGCTAAGGTGAAATTCACTGTGGGAGTCCGATTTTTATCTCAAGTTAGTATGCAAGTTTTTTTTTTTACAAAATTTCTTATACGACTCTTTTCGTATTTTTAAAAACAAACGAACTTAAAATCCGACTCAAACACTGATATGTATTCCAAAAGCGAACGAACTTAAAACTGACTCAAACACGGATGACGTACCAAAATACCGGCAAAAACATCTTCAACTTTTATAACGGTAGAGATATCTAATTTAATAGTTAAAATAATGGATTTAAGTGAATATCAACGGCTGGGTACTTTTCCATTTTAAGAATTTTTGAAATTTCTCTTAATTTATAGACATGACATGTGACAGTTTAGGAGCGTTTGTACGAGTGCCACGTGCTGGTTTAGAAGCGTTTGTAAAAGGTTTAATTAGTGGGCTTTTCAGTATATAACAGAAGATTGTTGTTGGTTGCCTAAACTTTTTTTCCCTTGCTTACATAGAAATGCAATATACTCCCGGGCAAGTGTGAAATTTCAGAAAACCACACGTTTTACTATGAATGTTGCATAAAAAGCTTTATGATTAATGACATGTGAACCCTATTTATAATGGTTCTAAAGTTTTCACAAAACCACACCATGCATATGTATGTTGAGCACAAATTTATTTAAAATTTTAAAACATAGCCTGTATATGAAAATTATAATTGTTGATTTATTAATTAAGGTTGGTAGTTTAAATTCTAGCTTCACTATTTTGAAAATTATTTTTTTCAGATATGCAAATGAGATTTGAATAATGGTAGGGTTTCAAAAACATGTATACCATAAAACCCGTAGTTATACGCCACAAGCCATAACATAAGCGGTTTATGTAATTTCATGTTTTATGATAATTACTCTAGTTTGAATAAACATTAAAATTTCAATCGCATACACAATGTACTGTTCTTTTCCAAATTATACCAGATTAGATTAGAAAGTCGACGTCAGTTACAACTTATTTTCGATTCCATAATTATTTTAAAAAACTAATTCACGAGTCCAACCTATATGCAATTTCATATATATTAATCTCGAATTTAGGAACAACTATATTTAGGACAACTAAAATTGAATATATAATGACAATGAAAAAAACCTGAAGTGTACTAGTACTATTTTCAACAGCATATTAATTAATCCAATTGTGACACTATGATCCTTCTAACCATCAACCATATCTTTATCAGGCGATATATACTGTTTTAAACCCTCGAGAGAATGTCCTCTCATTTATCTAAAAACCCTTCAAATAACTATGAAAAATTCTGAAAAAAATATATAACATTCATACAACATATATGTGCCATTATATATAATCTTAGATCTAAAGTCAAACTCACAAATTGAGATATAAAAAAGACAAATTTAACATATGAATAATAGTGGTATTATATATTCATAGTTGAGTTTGTTTTTTTTTCTTAATGTGCAGATCAAATTTAAATTTAATTTTTGGTGGAGTTCAATATATCACTATTCAATTTGTATTAATTTTTTTATAACTATTTACATAGGTTTCGGAAGAAAAAGAAACAAAGGGGACATCCCAGGATTAGAATCCATTCCTTACTTTTCAATAGCTTTGCCCATTTTGAGTACCGAATTAGTATAGGTATTGCACACATGATTTGTGGTAACCAAACTAGAAAATGAAAAACGGGTTTTCGGCGTTCAAGAACTTGTGCGTGAAACATCAAAATTTTAAATCATTAATGTATAAAAATTAAGACTTTATGCAAAATGATGTTAATAAATTCATTATGACAAGTACTTTTATGAAGCTATAATTTTAAAAACTTTTAAATATATTTCTAAAGCGTATTGATCAATATGTGCAGTTGAAACTGTATAGAGATCTCCAAATTAATCGTCAGGTAAAAACAGTAGGGGTACTAATTTTACAGCTCAATTGTTGAAAGAGTATGAACTAGTCTTATATTTTTTTCCCCGTCGGAGTTAAGACACAGGCATATATATACAGTACCCTCTTAGTCCCAAAATAAATTCATATAATATATCTTATCCTGGATCCGCTTTTGACTGTGATAATGTACATGGTTCAAAATCTATCTATTATATACTAAAAGTCCATTAAACTTCCTACAACGTTCCTACGTCGCCACGTGGCACTCTAATAAATTAGAGAAATCCTAAAAAATCAGAGAAAAAAGAAAAACATCCAACTTTCAATTTTCAGTTAAATTGGTGGACCTGTTATTTTAAACCGTTAGTTTAGATATATCAAAACTCCCACGCTGCTAATCTCCATCCCGAAAAAGAATAACGTACGTATGTGTACTTCGTACGATCATCTCACTTTCCGGAAAAAAAAACTTAATTACCTATGTCATATACTATGGAGAAAAACGATAAATCAAAAAAAATATCAATAGTAAAATCAAAGAAATAGTTCTAATCAAGAAAAATCATCAACGTCAGCAGTCCGGCACTTATGTGTTGTCAATAGCCTTTTAAACTACGATTTTGTTAAAAATAATACTACACACAAATAAGTAGGGGCAAAAATTATAACTATTTTCATTACCTCCTCCTTTCTGTCCCTCTCTGTCCTTCAATGCAGGGTGTAGTGTTTACTATGCTATCGTAAATATTGCAAGGGTATACATATGGTTAAGTTAAGGTGGTGTCAGTGAAAGGCTACTGTAGGCAATGTATCTAAAGGGAAATACTAACTAATGGAATCCTTTGTGAGTGTGACGATAGTGAATTAAGTGTTAAAATGATGCTATAGGCTGGTCTTTGGGGGCACGGCTACGTCGATGTAGGTCCGATGTTTCAGGGCATTACATAAGAAAGCTCTAGTAGTTACAGTCGGCTTCATCCGTTAGAGAGATATTCATGTCTATTTTTAATGGTGTTATTGTATTATCCGATAGAAGTGGTATGGTTAGACTATTTATACATAGAAGTGGAATATGTCATTTCATTTATTAAAAATGCATATAGCTTTTGAAACAATAACAATAGGGGAGTTTATATATGACCATGACAACGGGATTTTTATTTAAATATGAGAGATATTCTTATTCTTATCATATTTAGTAGTATATTAAAATCTACCATCTATTTTAGGCAATATATTTCTTTTTTTTATTGTTAGATAATTTACATTATTTCCTTACCGTGTATATAGTGATGTATGATTTATTTTACCATTCTTTCCCTTGAACAACAAATAAGATGTCAACGCATCTGTGCGAGCTTTATTTCCAGTTTATGTTTCAAAAATGTTCTCTGTCTTATATCCCACCCTTATAGTGTTTGAAATATGGCCCTGCGATACATGCCCGTGCATTACCTTCTTGTTTTGGATAAAAACTTCATGTCTACACTCCTACCAACCTACCAACACCCAAACCCCCCAACGAAATTATTTGGACCAAAATTTTTAAAATTTTCAATTATTTTGTGAACTTAGCAAGATTTATTTGAGAGTAATTTTACGGTACTTGAGGAGGTACAATGAGGTACCACTTTTTCTATTGTAAATTTGGTACCTCTTAGTATTTAGGTACTATGAGGTACAATGAGGTACCAAATTTTACACTAAATTTTTGGTACCTCATGGTACCTCCTCAAGAACCGTAGATTTGCTCGTTAGACCAAATTTTGCTAAAAAAACAAAAACAATCCAAATCCCCGACAAGAATAGCGAAACTGAAATTTGGTCGTGGAGGTCCTAGGTTTTACGCGGAGGAGGAGTACGTGCGCGAGATGAAGGATGAGGAGATGGTGAGGATGCTGCTACACGACGGGTGCTTCATCATCAAGCACCTCTACAACTTCGTGCAGGGGTACAACGAGGAGGAGCTGTACGCGACGCGGTGGTCGCCGGCGCAGCTGCGCATCGACCTCGGCATGCTGGAGAACCAGATCCCCTTCTTCGTGCTGGAGGAGATCTTCTACCACCTCACGCCGCGGAAGCTCCAGCGGAAGATCACGCGCGACGTAGGCGACGACGGCATGATGATCACGCCGCAGACCTTCCAGCGCAAGACGATGATGCGGCAGAGGAAGAGGCACAAGCTGCTGGTCATGGCGATGTGGTACATGCTCAAGGGGTGGTTCGTCCTCCCCGAGGACGAGAGCGACGAGCTGTACAAGCTCATCGCCGACAAGGAGGTCCACCACCTGCTGCACCTGCTGCACCTCGCCCACGCCCACCTCGTCAATGTCGACGACGACAAAGGCGCCGTCCTCGGCCTCCGCCGGCGCGACGGCAGCGCCACCAACCAGCAGCAGCAGGGCCACGACAAGGACGACGACGACGCCAAGGCGAAGGCGAACATCGTGTCGGCGGCGCAGCTGCGTGGCCTCGGCGTCAAGATCAGCAAGGCGCCGACGAAACGCGGCGGAATACTGGACGTGCGGCTCAGGAATGGCCTCTTGTCGCCGGTTCTGGAGGTGCCGGCGCTTACCGTCGACCAGGGCACGGTGCAGCTGCTGCAGAACCTCGTCGCGTACGAGCAGCAGGGCACGCCACCACCGAGCAACGACGACGAGCACCCCCGGGACTACTTCACCACCTACGCCTTCCTCATGTACAACCTCGTCAGCTCCACGGACGACATCGCCGTGCTCCAGGAGCAGGGCGTCCTCCTCAACAACTTCGGAAGCCATGAAACGGTCAGTATATATATACTTATCATTCGATCAATCTCGTCACGAATACATACATGTATCTGAATTCTCAATTCGTTATCAGTTAATTACCGCGCGCATATATATATATATATATGCAGATCATCGAGTACTTCAAGAACCTATGCCGAGGTAATCAGCGGAGCGGCACGGAGGAGAAGACACACATCGGCAAGGTGCTGCAGGGGCTCAGGGATTGCAGCCAGAACAAAGCGTATCGTTACTGGGCGGAGGCCAAGAAGTACATGGACAGCCCTGTCAAAATCCTCGCGCTCATCGTCTCCACTCTTCTCGCCATCTCCACTGTCTTGCAGACTACCGTCGCCTTCTATCCCAAATGATACACCTCGCCCTTCATTCCATGCCCAACTAATTATGATCAGTTATTTTTCGCTCCTAATTAACTTTCAAATTTGGATAAAATTTATTTACTTGGAATAATGCTAGTACTACCTAACTTTTAAGTTCATTTCGAAGATTTAAGGCTTCATTAAAAGCTTAATTCAGCTTCAAAAATAAACCCTACCCTATTGGTAATTATCTTATGTCATCTTAGCTATACATATATATGTGTGTGGATTAATTTGTGTGCGCGCTCGTGGAGTTCAGATCCTCAGCATTAGTGATATATTTTGTCGGTGTTACCAAAATGTTGTAATAATTTAATACATCAAATAAGTGGGGCACCTACAATTTGGGCCTTGATTGATATTTTAAATAATGTGATTATGTAATACTAGTCGTCAACCCGTGTGTTGCACAAGTTATTTTTAATGATGCTCTAAATATTATAATTTTATGATTATTTAAACTATGATATACTGAGCGCTACGCACGTATTAACCGCACGGAAGTAAAGACCCTTATAGAGGTTCTTATATATCCTTGGAGAGGTATATACCTCCCTAAAAAAATAAATTGATTAAACATATTATAAGATAAATTTATGATTGACAATGACAAAGCTTTTCTAAATCTCGGGAAGTATATAAGGTACACATACCAATTTTGTTAGTTATGAGGTATATACTTCCTGAGTAATACATATACTTATATATTAAATAGTTCTGTGACATTATTAGCCAACAAAAATGTTCATGTGACATATAAGGCCAAGTAAAAGAAAATTAAAGTCTGACAAGCTTAAATTGAAGCAAACACCTATCTAACAAATTGTAACATGCATGACTAAAATATGGCATGGCAAGGTTAACCAAACAAAACAAACGCCCCCATAATTTGGGCTTGTGAACTGTGCATATAAGAAGCTGTGAAAGAAATTGAATTGATCAAAGGTTAGGAATTAGTAAGTTTTACGAAATTGTGAACATGGATATAGCTATATGAAGCACGAAAATATAACATTTTAAGATATCAAAACTAATGAACTTATAAATAACCAAAAAAACATTAAACGTATCAGGAATAGTTTCAACTAGTTATCTCCTTAATAATTAGCTAGGCCTAGTACTACTCACCAGATCTGCATGTACCAGGTTTGGTATCACATGTATTAGGCTTGATAATGATGGGGTATTAGCCTATTACCGATGGGATTAGGGATGTTAATGGGGCCTGAACCCTAATCCCTGGTGGGTAAAACATCTATTAGGGGCTGCAAATGGGCCACTATCCCGATCCATGAGGCTCTAAACATGAAAAAACTCCCCCATTTGATGGATCGGTTCCGGGGACGTTCCCTAGACCCTTGTCCCCGAATCGCTATGTCCCCCGTGTACAACACATATAGATACAAACACTACAACCCTAGTTCTCACACAAATAAATTGGGGAGAGAATGCTCTCCTCCACTCCGGTCCAAATCCAGGCACTACAGAGCTGCCACTAGAAGTCCAGGCTAACATGACAAGTAAGCGATGCTTCCGGGTCAAGGGATTGGGGCACATCCGCGCCACCTCAAGGAGTCCTGTAGGACACACGCGGGCACCACACCATGCATCCTCACATCCTCCAGGCCACCGGTGCTTCCTCCTGTACTCGATGGCTTCGCCTGTCTCCAAGCAATGCTAGCACTATGTCAACTCCAAACTGCGTTGCATTGCTTCGTCTAGTCTTCCCGCTAAAGAATTATGTGCATCAATGCTTTTTCTACGTAGTTTTTGTTGGTGATGATTAATTGGTTACTCATCATCCCTTCATGTTTAGTATGGTGTTGTGTATCGCTTCATTAATTGCTTGTTGTGTTCTCTGATTCTAAAGTTCGATTTTCAGGTATTTGGGACAGGTGGGTTAGCATTACCTGGTGGGGGCAGCCCCGTTGCCATCTCTAAATAGGATATCGGCCCGGTACTAATAGGTACCCGGAGCTAGTACTGACGGGGTATCATCGATACCTACAGGGTATCATATTTGGTACCGTTAGGTATACATGCTTAGCGTTATTTGGATGAGATTCCATAGCATATCTATATTACTCCCTTCAACCCGAAACGAATATGATCATATATCATTTAAAAGATAAATTAGTAGGTATAACTGAAATGATTAATTTATATGTCACCCATTAAATGAGCAGTGGTTATAAGGGTGGAGAGTGTTGTGTAGGATGGAAAGAAAATTTGAAATCTTATGCTTTCATCATCATCGATCTTCTCTGTTTCACCATAATTAATTGTGTCTCTAATGGATGGCCCGTCATATAGACTGGTATCTGCGTACGTTCCCTTTCTATTGTCATCTATTGACTCTTCTCTATTGGAGGGATGAGTAGTATTCTATAATTGTTTTTAATTTTAACAAAATTTAAATGTAAGAACTGCATTATTTTTGTGACGGGGTAAATATTAAACATTTAAACTTACTCTGATGATGTGTTGTCTGAGGAGCTTATTACATGTCTTGTCATTGCAGGTGTACAAAACGAATAGAGTGGATTTCAACAGAAGGTGGAGAACTGTGCAGGAAATTTCATAGTAGTATTTCACTTAGCTTTGTTGAGTAGAGGCAACACAAACAGAATCGAGAGATTTTCAATTTTAGTACTATGTTCATAGTAGTATTTCGTAAAGTACATTCTCGTAACATACAGCTCACTCTGTAAGTAGTCGTCTGTACCAGTAATTGGAGACGGTCATGTTTGCATATGCATGTTATTCAACATTGATACGAATAACTAGCTAGCTAGAGTGACCATGTCGATCATCAACACAAGGTTGCTCGACATGATCAAGGGTGCGAGATGAGATCGAGCCAGGGTTTGAAATTTCGGAAGTAAGATTTCTGCCGCAGGTGGGCGAAAGAACTGAAATTTCCAAAATTTCGGATTTTTTTCATACGATTTTTTTTTGAAATTTTGACTGATTTTAAATAAATTAGAATAAATTTTGACCAAAATTCATAAAAAGTTATAAAAAACCGAAAATTTCGGACGAGATGTGAGTATTTCGGTGGGGGGCAAAATTTCCGAAATTTCAAATTCTGGATCGAGCTCGATCGCTAGTTAGCTATACTAAGAATAAGATCAGGTACGGTTGGAGCCTGCAGCAGGACGGCCGGTGACGACGACGTCCTTCGCAGTCGACGACGACTTGGCCTTTGGCTTTGCGACGCCGCCGTAGCACGACACGCGGACGCTGTCGACGTCGCCGTCGTCGCTGTTGTGCTGGTCGACGTTCCGGCGGCCGTTCTGCCTGGGCGGCGTTTGGTCGTCGTCGTCGAACAAGAAGTTAGCTCGCCGAGACTTCTCCATCACGTCCTGCATATACATCATAACCATTAATTAATTACTTTCTCTTTAAGATGATATAATTAATCCGCCCTCTACATCCAATACTTCAGATGTATCCGGCGGCCCCAGCAGTATCGATCATGCATGATCATATATATATATATATATATATATACACGTATATATATATATATACGTATACGTATATATACGTATATATATATACGTGTATACATATATATATACGTATATATATATACGTATATATACGTATGTATACACGTATATATACGTATGTATACGTATGTATACACGTATATATACGTATATATATACACGTATATATATACACGTATACGTATACGTATATATACGTGTATATATATATATATATATATATATATATATATATATATATATATGCACTAGCAACATATCTAATTACCAAATAATTAATTAGGAGTACTTCATATATATATATGTATCTGTATACGAGATTTACTTACCATTTTGCCTTCGATCGAGTAGTAGGTAGCTAGGTTTGCTTGTTTGTCTAGCTGGTTGCTCGCTCTCGATGACTCAATGAACTCTTCTATCTGAGTCTGATGAGTTGTGTGTGATCTTGTGATGATGGATTGATATTGCAAGACCCTACTCTCTCTCTATATATATAGCTGTTGCTTTGCTAGGTAGACGGACAAAAACGCATCTATCAAGATATACATCCAGCACGTCGGCCAATACACGTACGTCGTACGCGTGAAACCTTTTCATTTTTACGCGTGGAATTGAAGCTTGATCGAATGAAGGAAGGGATCGAAACAGAGCAAAAGTCCAACATGATCGACATATGCTTTTTGATGAAATTTCCCCAAAAAGCAGGTTGTCGTGTGGCATAATATGCATTATATTCAAGCTAAGTAAAGCGCAAGTGCATATATTCCTTGGCGTATTCCACTCTAGCTATAACTCAATCTTTTCCTCTCTTTTCGCGATGATCAAAATTCAGCGCGTCTGATGGTGTTGGCAGAAACGAATACAGCCGCACGATCGATTTACGGGTACAATTAATTGTCCCCCTTGCAAGTGGAGCAAACGCCTGAAATGAATCGACTATTGGTGGTGCTAAGCTTCTTTCAAAAACACTATTGGTGGTAGCGGTTGCACTACTAGAGAAATGATCTTTGCTGGGTCAACCCAAAACCACAATAGTCCCGGTTACAAAAAGAACCGAAACTAAAAATGATTTTTAGTCCCGATTGAAAACCCCACAGCCATTTTATCATCTTTAGTCCCAGTTGGCAATCGGGACTAAAGATCTCCCGGTTCATCCTTTGTCAGTGGCCTGTTAGGGGGCCGAGAATCTTTAGTCCCGTTCGTAAAGATGATCTTTAATCCCGGATGGTAATCCTAACCAGGACTAAAGATCAATAGACTAAAATTTAATACGTAGTATATTATCCCTCTCACTTATCCTCTCCTCCACAATCGCACCACTCACAGATCCCTTCCTCTTCCCCTTCCTCGTACTTATCCTCTTCACAGATCCCTCTCCTCATCCCCTTCCTCCTCCCCTCCCCTCTCCTCCCCCTCCTCCCTTCCCATCCAGCGGTTGGCGGGGCCGCAGCGGCGGCGACCGGCGGGGCCGCACCCGGCGGCGGCAGGCAGGCGGCCAGCGGCGCCGTGCACAGCTACGGGCAGGCGGCCGGCGATGCCGCGCGCCCTCTCGTATGCCGGCCAGCATCCTCTCTTTTTTTTGGATAATTTGTGATTAATTGAGATGTATAATTTTGTGATTCATTGCATGGATCTGAGATGTATAATCTGTGATGTATTTAATTTGTGTGTTATTTTTTAGGATTTTTGATGTATCTGATTTGTGCGTATTTTTTTAGGATTTGTGATGTATTTGATTTGTGTGTATATGTAACTTAAGATTTGGGATGTTACTTTGAATCGGGGGATTTGGGGATTGATTTGGGGATATACATGGCACTAGATTCGGGAGAAAATATAGGGATTAACTTTAGCCAAAGAAACAATAAAAATGAAAAAAAAAAGAAAAGGGGACCATCTGACTGCCGCTATCCATCTTTTGTCCTGAGTATTTGAACCGGGACTAAAGATCACTATCTTTAGTCCCAGATTTTTACTCTCGGTTGAAAAACCGGAACTATAGGGGGTTATCAACTGGGAGTACTATAGGGGGTTATCAACTGGGAGTAAAAAGGGTTTCTCCACCAGTGTCGGTTTCGCGGCCACAATAGCGGTATCGATCGGGACCACGACGAGGAGATGGTGCAAAATGGAGGCCAGGCTGGAATACTGCGGCCACGACAGTGACCTCATAAATGAAATAGCGATAGTTAGAACCACCACGAAAATCGACACCATCGAATTTAGGAAAGGTCACGTTTTTTTAGTGGTATTAATAGCGGCCGCTGTTTTTGCACAAAAGTCTGGTGCCGTTGTGAATGTAAATTTGTGAGGCATGCGGTTTTCAATGTGCATTTAAAACAAGAGTCACGCACACATATATCTTTTACACACGCTAGCTTTTTGAAATATTTTAGAATTTTGTAAGTAGTAACTGTTGTACAATTTTTCAAAGTTGTAACATATATAATTTATACAATTTTAAATTCATAAAATAAAAACTGATTAGGGTGTCATACACATTAGCTTGCTGTTTTGTCGTATATTACTAATAGGCGAGACCAAATTCGGGTTACACTTATATGTGTGTGTATATGTTGTTTCCTCCACTGTAGCTTCCTGTCCGCTAAAAAAACATATTTCTAAACTTCAAGAAAGGTCTTAAAAATGCATTACTCACGCCACTTTGTGTGACTAACTTTTCACTTGAAAAGTAGAAAGAATATATTGAGCGTGCATCACTAAGATTTCAAAAGCTATAGCTCTCCCTCAATTGACATACAGCTCAAAGTTTTTTTCTGAGCATATATTCCTTGACGACATTATATCTCCTTTTGCGTTCAATTCAACTGCCAATGCCGTACTCCGGAGAATCGAAGGTACTACTCCACTTGTCAAAACCACCTCACGATTACCGAGCCATGTCGATCCACAGGTGGATATATATATATATATATATATATATATATATATATATATATATATATATATATATATGTGTGTGTGTGTGTGTGTGTGTGTGTTAGATGATAAAACATGATTAATACTTTATGCGTGACTTATCTTTTTTTTTTTCATATTTTCTTCAAATAAGACGGACGGTCAAACATTGGACACGGAAACCCAGGGTTGTCTTTTTTTGGACGGAGGGAGTACTCAATACTACTGGCCACAAATTAAGATGATGGGTGTGGAAGAATTTATTTTTAAGGTGATTTTCAAATCACCACTGCAAGAACAGTTTCATAAGTACTCCCCGTCCCACAATATAAGTATTTTTAAACTTCGACATAGTTTTTGATATGTTATTTTGACCAACAATATCTATGAAGTTAAGATGCTTTAAACAAAAATAGTTGTATATTATGATAGTTTGTTTAATTATAAATATAGTAATATCAATTTTACATGATCGATCAATTCTATTTTTTGGATATTAATAATCAAAGTTAAAAATATTTGACTTAGCACTGTTCTAAAAATGTTTATATTTTAAGTATTTTGGGACTGGGGGAGTAAATATCAAGATTGTTAATTTGGAGCGGTACGATACGGCGCCCACTCGTTGCATACCCTTTTTGCTGGCGAAATTGTACGTACTGGCCATTCCGGCCTTGAGACATTTCTAAAATCATAATGAATACTTGTGTAAACGTGGTCGAGACATTTTTTGAAGGAGGTTTGTAGCCAAAGGTGTTTTTAGAAATATGTGCAGCATGGTTAGAGACTTTTTCTTCTCTAATTAATTAAGGGCATTCTCTTGAGATGTTTTTAATTTGCCCCATCTAAAGTCATTTTTAATAGGTTAGTTTTTATTAAATATCTAAATATAAAAGATGATGTGTCACTGGTGGAGAAACCCTTTGTAGTCCCGGTTCGTAACCCCCCTTTAGTCCCGGTTTCCAAACCGGGAGTACCAATCCGGGACTAAAGATCGCTATCTTTAGTCCCGGGTGAAATAACCGGGAGTAAAGATCGATCTTTAGTCCCGGTTGGTAACACCAACCGGGACTAAAGATCGAGCTGATCTTTTTTTTTTTTTGCATGGCCCTGTTGCTGCATGGTATATATATATATATATATATATATATAAACCATGCATATATATGTTTCAATACATATATATGCATACATATATATATGTATATATATATATATATTATATTATATTATATTATATGTATATACATGCATAATATATATGTATTTATACATATATATGTTATGCAAATGCATATGTATATAGATATATATATGACCAAAATATATTTACATTATAGAAAATGTGTACACATGCATATAGAAACATATGTAGTCATGTATTAATTACAATCCATTATATGTCCTAGCTAGCTACGATTTCGACGTAGTAGTACTCGCTGCTAGCTCAGAAGCTAAGGACCGGTGAATTGTGTTTCCGTCGTAGTAGAATTCACCCTTGGGATCAAGGATTTCTTCGTTGATGAATCCCATGAGTTGTTCTTGAACCGCCGTGATAAATTCCTTATGTGTGGTCAGGTTATCCCTCATACGAATAAACTATATGAATGTATGAAATTGATTAGTAATTAAACAAGAAATCGCTACGTAATGAAATTTTGAATTTATTTGTACGTACATCGAGCTCTCTTGTGGTGATGATTTGGTTTGCAAGGCAGTGGCAATACTCGCACACGTAATAGCCGCACAAGTTAGTTCCCTGCTTTTGCTTTGCGCACTACAAATAAATGACAAACAACGAGAGATCTAATTAATATACACTTGTATGTATTTGAATCGGAGAAATATAAATGTAGAGCATGTGTACTCACAGGAAATTTGAACTTCCGCCTAAGTCTTTCTCTCCATTTGCCGCGGACCAAATGACGGAACCGATACCAAGCCCTACATGGAGTTTAAAGCTATGATTCGTAGTAGCAATTAACATAACAAGATTTTCTTAATTAACAAAGGAACTTATGACGGTACCTGTCTATAAGTTCGAAAACCTTGTCAAACGTAGACTCTTTTTTATCCATTGAGTCATATACGTTGACGGTGCAGGCCTCCAAGTCGAAGAGTAAAAGCACCCAGTGGAATCTGCAATGTGCGTGGGATGCATTACATATGAAACACTTAGCAAGTTCGTACGGGAATGAAATTTGGCATGTAGGAAGACAGTAAAATTAAACTAACTCTGTGTTGTATGGCAACAGTATGAACGTCTTGTAATGCTGCGCCTTCAGGAGATGGATGAGATTGTCCTCTGTTTCTTGTGGATATTGGTCGAGCATTGCGACGTTTACTTTCCGAGGGTCGATGAATCCAGTATCGAAAACCCTCCGCCGTCGGGCCCTTTGAATCTCCATTCTACAACGATAAAAGGGAGTATATTATTTTCTATAGTCTACTTATATACAAGGACCTAATTAATTAAAGGAGACGTATAGTAAGAAATCTAACTGAACGATATACTTACAAAATCCAGCAACTCATAATAGAGACGTCGAGGGCGTCCAACTGGTATAGTTCGTAGATTCCCCTGAAAT